GGAGGTCGATGATCGACTTTGTTGTCGTATCATCTGACCTTCGACCGCGTGTCTCGGACACTCGGGTAAAGAGAGGGGCGGAGCTGTCAACCGATCATCACCTGGTCGTGAGTTGGATCCGCTGGCAGGGGAAGAAGCCGGTCAGACCTGGCAGACCCAAGCGTATAGTGAGGGTCTGCTGGGAACGTCTCGCTGAGCCCCCTGTCAGACGGACTTTCAACTCACACCTCCGGGAGAGTTTCTCCCAGGTCCCGGCGGAGGAGGGGGACATGGAGTCCGAGTGGACCATGTTCTCTGCCTCAATCGCCGATGCGGCGGCTCGTAGCTGTGGTCGCAAGGTCTCTGGTGCTGGTCCCGGCGGCAACCCCCGAACCCGGTGGTGGACACCGGCAGTAAGGGATGCTGTCAGGCTGAAGAAGGAGTCCTATCGAGCCATGATGGTTCGGGGGACTCCTGAGGCAGCTGTCCAGTACCGGCAGGCCAAGCGTGCCGCGGCCCGGGCTGTTGCAGAGGCAAAAACCCGGGACTGGGAGGAGTTCGGAGAGTCCATGGAGCATGACTATCGGTCGGCCTCGAAGAGATTCTGGCAAACCATCCGGCGCCTCAGGAGGGGGAAGCAGTTCTTTGCCAGCACCATGTACGGTGCGGGTGGAGAGCTGCTGACATCGACTGGGGATATTGTCGGGCGGTGGAAGGAATACTTTGAGGTTCTCCTCAATCCCCCCGTCACGTCCTCTGTTACAGAGGCAGAGGCTGAGGATGTTGGGGCGGGTACATCCATCTCCCTGGCTGAGGTCACCAAGGTGGTTGGTAGCCTCCATGGTGGCAAGGCTCCGGGTGTGGATGAGATCCGCCCTGATTATCTAAAGTCTCTGGATGTTGTAGGACTGTCTTGGCTGACACGTCTCTGCAACATCGCGTGGCGATCGGGGGCAGTGCCAATGGAGTGGCAGACCGGGGTGGTGGTCCCTCTCTACAAGAAGGGGGACCGGAGGGTATGTTCCAATTATCGTGGGATCACACTCCTCAGCCTCCCCGGTAAGGTCTACTCCAAGGTACTGGAGAGGAGGCTACGCCCGATGGTCGAATCTCGGATCCAGGAGGAGCAGTGTGGTTTTCGTCCCGGTCGCGGAACACTGGACCAGCTCTATACTCTCCATCGGATACTCGAGGGTTCATGGGAGTTCGCCCAACCTGTCCACATGTGCTTTGTGGATTTGGAGAAGGCGTTCGACTGTGTTCCCCGGGGTGTCCTTTGGGGGGTTCTCCGGGAGTACGGGGTCGGGGGTCCTCTGCTGAGGGCCATCCGATCCCTGTATGACCAGAGCCAGAGCTGTGTTCGCATTGCCGGCAGTAAGTCAGACCTGTTCCCGGTGAATGTTGGCCTCCGACAGGGCTGCCCTTTGTCACCGGTTCTGTTCACTGTATTTATGGACAGAATATCTAGGCGCAGCCAGGGGTCGGAGGGGGTCCGGTTCGGAGACCACAGGATTTCATCTCTGCTGTTTGCGGACGATGTTGTCCTGTTGGCTCCAACGAACCAGGACCTGCAGCATGCACTGGGACGGTTTGCAGCCGAGTGTGAAGCGGCTGGGATGAGAATCAGCACCTCCAAATCCGAGGCCATGGTGCTCGACCGGAAAAAGGTGCCTTGCCCTCTGCAGGTGGGTGGAGAGGTCCTTCCTCAAGTGGAGGAGTTCAAGTATCTCGGGGTCTTGTTCACGAGTGAGGGAAGAATGGAGCGTGAGATTGACAGGCGGATCGGTGCAGCGTGCGCAGTTATGCGGTCGCTGTATCGGACCGTTGTGGTGAAGAGGGAGCTGAGCCGAAAGGCAAAGCTCTCGATTTACCGGTCAATCTTCGTTCCCTCCCTCATCTATGGTCATGAGCTTTGGGTAATGACCGAAAGAACGAGATCGCGGATACAAGCGGTCGAAATGAGCTTCCTCCGCAGAGTGGCTGGGCGCTCCCTTAGAGATAGGGTGAGGAGCTCAGTCACACGGGAGGAGCTCGGAGTAGAACCGCTGCTTCTCCACGTCGAGAGGAACCAGTTGAGGTGGCTCGGGCATTTGTTCCGGATGCCTCCTGGACGCCTCACTGGGGAGGTGTTCCGGGCACGTCCCACCGGGAGGAGGCCCCGCGGAAGACCCAGGACACGCTGGAGGGACTATATCTCTCAGCTGGCCTGGGAACGCCTTGGGGTCCCCCCGGACGAGCTGGAGGAAGTGTGTGTGGATAGGGAAGTCTGGGCGTCTCTGCTTAGACTGCTGCCCCCGCGACCCGGCAACGGATAAAGCGGAAGAAAATGGATGGATGGAAGTGATCCACCAAATTGTTGCGGTGACCTAGTGACAGTGGTGTTCTGACACAGGATCAGAACCCATTTGAAGACAGATAATATGTGATTTTGAATACACTGCATGGAGTTTGTTGGCTAGCACTCTTGTTTGTTGACAGTAATCAGACTGGAGTGTTGCTACCACATTATCGGCTTGCTATTTCTGATGATCCTTTAAGAGACACACTTGCACTTGATAACTCACTTCAAAGGCCACGCAGATTGTTGATTGTTGTTGGCCAGTGATGAGCAAATGAAACTGTCATGGTGTGTACTTGTTTTCATTTCTACCTGGATTTATTTTAATGCGTGTTGGAGGACTTTACAAATATGTCGAATAGCCATCAACCAATCAGAAAATCAAATGATTTAAACACAGGAAATGCTTTCTGCTTTAGTTTTCTTGGATGCATTTTGGTTTGACCGTATTAAAGGACTCTCCAGCAGACACAGGGGCGGCCGGATTGTCACTACGGTGTGATTCAGGAAAATACGAGCAACAATCGCAGTCACCTGACCAACCCCGAAAAAATGTCTGTCCAACCTCGTCAAGATCCTTTTGATGAATCATTTTTACTACATTCCACACAACTGTGAAAGGACTCAATCGATCACCAGGTACATCACAGAATACATAGCATGTAATTCAATAATTTCCTATAGTTAAAAGTTGTTCTAGTTGATTCTTCACTTGAACATCACACATAATAAGAGACCAAATATGACCTAACGGTGCATGGATGATCCTGACTTGAACTGTTTTATGTTGTGTTGTCAACATCCATAAATATGACAGTAAATGGCCTATCAATTGTTTATTATTATTATAATACACCATATTGTCAGCAATTTTAAAATACAGTAAGCCTCTCCCCAATATCACAATAAATATCGTACCATGAGATATAGCCAATATAAATACCAATATAGTAGTGTGAGATTTGCATATTGTTACATCCCTAGTGACATCTACAGGATTCCTAGGCTATAGCTTCATATCAAAGGGGTTTTCACAGGCGGCACAGGTTGCACAGGTCGCATTATAGGTCTCTCAATTATAGAATTATCATGTATCCAGTTTGCACATACAATAGCACTGCAGTAGAGAGAGAGAGAGGAAGTTATATAATGCCTGTAACAAACCGCAACCCGTGGCAAATGTTAGGTTTTTACTCAGAAAGTGGTTTATTGAGATAATTTACTTCCTGGAACTATTTCTCAGTGGTCTAAATGAGGGCACTGTTCAAATGGTTGCAGGAAATCAAGCAATGAAGTCAAAGTTATGCAAATTATAAACAGGAAGAAAACATTTTCTTACAGCGGCTCATCAACTTATTTGGTCTTTAAGTTTTTCAAAGTAATAATTTACCTTTACTGTATGTAACTGGTAAACTACACACCGAAATCGCCCCCTAGCCCTAACCTGACCTCGTCCGAGCAACTATTCAGTGTTTGTTCAAATACTCACAAACATAGTTTTTTTCACAGCCAGGATCAGTGTGGTATATTATGATATAAATATTTACTTTGCCTGAAGCCCCCGCTGAAAGATCAAGGCTTTTCTGTCACTGACAGAGCAGCCGTCCTCCTGTGGACCTGCAGGAGGATCAGTGAGGGGCTGTGCTCTGGGTGGCATCTCAGATTGACACCCTCCCCCACCCAGAAATGGATTAAGGGGCAGAAAATGGATGGATGGATGGATATTTATGGTCACACGAACAAAAAATCGACTATCATAGAAAAATGTAAATATTTGTACTTAAAAAAACAAGAAACTCATGTTTGATTTAGCTCTCTAGAAAGAGAGATACCCTGTAGGAGAAATTCAGTAATGTGTAATGAAAACAACTATTCTGAAAACAACTATTCTGAAATGTCTTTTTTACTTTTACACATATTTTGTGTCCATGTATTAGATAAGGCAGGCTCAAGAGGCTTTTCTTTCGGAAATTGTTGATTTACAGATGTGTCAGAGGCCAAAAATATGTGAAAAATAGTGTTTGAAGAGTGAGTTACTACTGTCCTTTCCGGTCTACAAGCCGCTACTTTTTTCCGTTGTCTTTTAAAAAAAACATTTTTTTAAACCCCTCGGCTTATAAAGCGGTGCGGCTAATTAATATGTGTATTTTTATTGTGGTCGAGTTGTCAGAGTAGAGTTTATGCTTATATTATTTTAGCAAGTTTAAGAAACAATAGGATTTTTTTAATTGTTCAATTAGATTGGTGAATGAGTACCAGCACAGAAGCTAGCAGTTAAGCAGAAACACCTCATCATTATATCTGTGCAACCAGTCATTTATCTGCCGTACATGAAAACCTGCGGCTTATATCAAAGTGTGGCCAATATATGTAGACAACATTGATTTTTCTTTCAAAATGTAGGTGGTGTGGCTTACATGCAGGTGCGCCTTATAGTCCAGAAAGTAGTTAGTTTGTTGTGGTTTCAAACTCTAGCTTGAGCTCTTCACATTCCCTGCTCAAACAAATACCTACCTATCACATGAACTGCTCCTCTCTATCACTCAATTGTCCACGTCTGCATTCAATTACTTTTTCACAACATTCAGACAGCTCCATCTTGTGTAGAGGCAGATATTAACTCCTTGTAGTGAGAGTGGAGTAGAGAGTTGCGGGACTATAGGAGCGTTACAAGTGCCAGTACCTTTGGAGATGGAGCAGATAAACACTGTGTTCTGCTGGCAGGGCTAATGATGTCAGTTTACTGCGAGAAGCTGTCAGCGCCCGAGGGGAGAGCGAAGGGAGCGAAGAGAGCAGAGAGAGCCAGCCCAGTCTGAGACATGAGACCAGAGATGTGATCCCGAGGCTCACTGAAAAGCAAACGCACAAACAAGACTTAGTTCAATCTGGACCGGATTATGTTTATTGAGTTACATTTGCATGAAGTAAATTGGTTGCTGAATGATTTGGCACTGTGACCCGGCATTCCTATAATGATGAAAGAATGATGGCTTTGGAATGTTCGTGTTATCTTGTATTTTCTTCTATATCTTGATATTGATACAGTGGAGTGCAAATTATTGCAATATTTGATTATATAAAAATCTGACTCTAGTCTATTGTATTTGAATAATTTAAGTGATGTGCTGGGAGCTCACCATTCATATGGGACAGGTCGCTATACACAGAATAATTATGCCTTGTCCTGTAATAAGGGGCTGTGTCCTGAATGTTCAAGGATAAAGTGTTTGCACTTCAATGCATGTGCAGACCATAATAAATTTGGCTTGAGAAGTTTTTTTATAATATGAGGGACATGAATCACAAATTGCAGACTCAAATCACAATACTTGCTGTATTACAATATGTGAAGAATCACCATAATATTGAAGAGCATAAAATATAGTATTAAAGAAATGCTATATGTCATCTTTTTAAAATGTCACAGTATGTAACCAAGCAAAGTTCTTTAAGTGAAGATACTGTCTCCACTCAGTTAAATATTCACTGGGAGAGGACAAGGGAACACAATGAGATGCATTTACAATTTTTCGGCACAGGCACCATGACTGAAATCATGTTTATTAAAGACCTCAAGTGCAGTAACCCTTCTCTGTTTTGTTGAAACCTGCCAAACAGCATGGATAATCACTTCTCAAACTGGCATTACACCATGACGGAGACACACCTGTCTCAGCGAGTCCCGTATTCCACATTCATGAACATGCCTGGTTGAGAGAATGTTTTCAGTTTTCAGTTTTCAGCTTGATTTAGATTGTGCTGCTTGGTGTATGGTCATTATATCAGTCAACACCCTTGACCCATCATAATAATAATTGATCATAATAATTCTCCTTCAAAATATAGTTCACAATTCTCCTTCACAATATAGTACAGTAATACAGAGGCCAATACTAAACCATGAGCGGTGAAATCCATTGATATAGTAGAATGTGAAAAAACACTATGGTGCATATACTGTATGTGCAGTTTAATGGGCTGCCTAAATAGACCAAAAGAGTACATTTCTGTTTCCAGCGGGTTGAATCCGTCAATACTTTTCTCTGATCACTTCACTTGAAGTATAAATATCACTTATATCTTTAAAAAATAATCATATTAACATTTTGTCTGTCTTTTCTGTTCACACTTGAAGCCGCTGTACGCTAATCATAACAGCTAACGTTAGGGACCAATATTAAGTGTACTGTACCTGAAAATCTGATCAATATGTATGAAAAAAGTCGCTTATTACTGTCCTATAAAAAGAGCCCCTTAGTTCATTCTTGATCCTAGTACACTTATCATTAGCCTCATACCTCCAAACCTCTGCTCAAAGGGTTGAGATCTACATAAATTAGCGATCTGTTTTGGTTTTCATTGTCATTGTGGACCATGTCCAAAATTAAATGTCAGTGTTCAAAGCTTCTGCTTCACCTTGCAGGTTAACAGAATTGTCTATACAATGGTATTTCAATGGCCAATGACTGAAAGATTAAATATTTCTGTCGGCCTGGCAAAATTGTATTGAGTACGAGCTTCTGCCCTCCAATCACTGGATGTAAACATAAACATTCAACATAAACATTCCACTTAATAATATAACACATATATCAACAGGTTGAATCCATGTTTTCCTGTTGTATGGTAAAATAACTGCTATTCTTGAAAGCTGCAACCAGAGGCAAACTCCCCACATGAAACAACAATCTCAGTCTCATTCAGGTTTCGACACCGCAAGCAAACTGGGCTTGAATGGAATCCAAGGACACACTGAGGCCACTAACACTAACACAATGCATAACATAACATTTGAAAGTATTTCCCAAAGAACCAAACATTGTGAATTAAATTATCAATATTACCCAGCCATGACCGAGCACATGACAGACGATTACAAAGCATATGGCATTGGATTCAATCTGTTATTTGTAATATGTTACCATAGAAACACAAAGTCAGATGTTGGGATCATTTTGTTTTTCCAGAAGGCATTCTCTCTCAGCCGTTCCTTCGAGTCATTCTGAGTGCAACTAATGCTGCAGCGGAGGGAAACGCTACAGCGACACTTTGAATGGGAAATACATCAGTCAGTTGACAAGACAAAATCAATTTTGTACCAATGAAAGAGTTATTATGACTTTAAATATAAGCGCGAGGTTCACAGCATCACGTCTTGGTCAAATGAGGACATTGCGTTCTCTGACTTTTCTGTTCTTTGTGGTTTTATATTTGTTTTTAATGAAATATATTTATTAATTGATGTCATTTTTCTTTACTCATGAATACACAATAACCCATCCCTAACTTACTACTTACTGTAGCAAACACTGTTATTCTGTCAGTTGTATACATTTTACAATATTACCATTCAGGCTTTTATAATGACGGTTTATTTACTTAATAAGCAAATATGTGTTTTCACCAAAATCACCAAAACACATTTATTAGTTAAAATGATGTTGTTACTTCAGTAAGTTACAGAGACGTGAGAGTCGTCAAAATCATTAAATAAATAGTCACAATATATGTTGGACATTTTTCTTTTTTCTTTTTTAACAAATATTAATAAGAAAACATGGTGGGGCTAATATTGAAAAGAGTACATTTTGTACCCATGCAGCTGCTCCAGTCTGTTCCAGCGTGGGTCAAACCGGGACAGTGCGCCTCGGTTATTTTTAAGCAGGCGCATTGAAGAGAAGCTTTGCAATATGTGTAGGACATATTCACATCAATTCATTCGCATTTTGGTTTTTTATGACAAAAATGCACCATAATTCGACCCAAATCTTAATTCTAACGGTCTAAAAATAAGATTTAAAATCGAAACAAGCTTATAATGCCAAGTCAATAGAAATTGATATAAACCAATTTTCCCATCGCATTTCCCTGGGTTTAAGGCATAAACAGTTTATTGCAGAAAAAGGGCACATATATTATTACACATATTCCCATCCCCACTGCCATAAACAACCAGAATGTTTAACAATTTTTTGCAACCTTAATGCAATTTGGCAGCTCTCTTTTATACAAACACCCAATTTCATATTTTTGTCTTTATAGCTGCATGTGTCTGACAGAGACGTATTGTGTCGCCTCTATGTCATGAAAAGGAAGCAATGAGTGAGAAGATACAAAAAATTCAAGGTATTGTTATAACGCTAAGGTAATAGGCTAGTAATCAGAGGTCAGCAGTATTCGGTCCATGGATGCAGGAGTCTGAACTTTTTGTATTAAAGAAATGCTGTTTTCAAGGCAGATTTTAGTTTTTTTCCTCAAAACAAACACAACAAGTTCTATTCTATCTAATACTAAAGTGGATTTTTTTGGTAAATACTCGAGAGCTCTTCAATTCGGTTTAAGTGCATGATTGCTGTTAGTGTGAGGCTAGAGGTATTTTTGTCATATTTTTGACAGCTTGGTAAAACGATTACCTGTAGCTGCAATGTAGGTCAAATGAGGAGACGCCGCCTGCTGAAAACCATACATTTTGCAGCGGAACAGAATACAGATACAGACTATTTCCTGGCCTCTCATCACACACATGAAGAGACAGAGACATTTCCCTCGCAAAAAACCATGCCACCGACCACATATCCACAAGTTATAGACCGAGTCGTGACATCGCCACACCAATTCGGATTTCAGCTTCATTTTAATAGTGGCTGAGTTAGGCCGTGATTTGACTACAACTTTCAATAAGAAGGATGTACGATCTGAACGCGCACGCCAGGCTTCCGAGGCAGCTGCTCAGCCCCAGCCCTGGGTTAATCCAGGACACTGCGCCTGCCTCCCGCTTTGGCTGCGAGTATCAGCGCTTACAAGTCATGCCTGCGAGAAATACGTTGTAAATTTAGCTTTTTATCATTGATACTGCTTTCCTCTCCTGTCCGCAGCCCTTAGACCTTGTGCTGCTTTACTAAACGCGACGAAAGCAATCTTCAACGCGCGAAAAGGCATCCATCCATTTGGAACAGTCCAATATATCTGCAGCGTTGGTTAGTTTTATAGCATAGTAAATCTTCGTAAATTCGAGGCTCTCATTGCATCAGAATTAGATTTTTAAAATGGATAAATTCTTCCCCACAAAATTCTGACAAAAACCCACTCACACACACTAGACGTAATGAGGCATTGTTATAACGCAGTAAGTAATGAGAAATAGGCTAGTAAATCAGTTGCTGTTTCCTTCTCGTGTCCGCAGCCTTAGACCTTGTGCTGCTTTGCTCAACGCAACAAAAGCAATCTTCAACGCAAGAGAAAAGGCATCCATCCATTTGGAACAGTCATATATCAGCAGTGTTAGTTAGTTTTATAGCATCATAGTTCTTAATAAATTTGATGCGATCGTTGCAATAGCAGCTTTGTACAGTCTCACATATATGCAAATATATATATCTGTGATGTAAATATTATCCTATACTTGGTTAGAAACTAAACTGCACTTCATTGCATTGTTCTGACAATAAAATTGAATCTAATCTAATCTGAATTAGATTTTTTTAAATGACCAAATTCTTCAGAAAATCGAAAACACATAATTTCCTTGAATGCACTTGATTTAAGCACGGTGAACATTCTGCTGTCTGTTTTAGTCTGGGTCAAACCAGGACAGTGCGTCGCTCTCACTCTTTATTCTATAGCGTCTACAAATCGTTGTGTTGTAAAAAAAAAAATCACCAAATCTTTACTAGTATAATAATTTTTGTATGTAGATTAAAACATATCAATTATGTTCTACTATTGTAGCATTTAAATATCATTACTTACGTTTGCACATCACCTTTTTATGTATTTATGTTTTTAAGACTAAATCTGTATTTTAGAAGCTCTCAATAAAATATTTACACCATATTAGCACAAAATGTATCGCATATATTTAGGAAACATGCGCAGTTTGCTCTCGGTGTGCTGCTCTAGTCCAGGTCAGATGAGGACAATGCGCTTTTGGCACCGCTCTTCCCTCCCTTTACCCACTTCAAACATTTTGAACAAACCTATGGTGCTGGAAAAACACCATATTATTTTATGTAATTAAAAAGAACAAATTAATGTTGTTGGATGAGGCTTCTTCAGCTGGTTACATCTGCACCCAGCCCTTTCCTTTCATGCTTTTACCTATTTTATTTGAAGTGATTGTGTATGTGCGCGTGTGTGTTTGTATGTGTATGTGCGTGCGTGTGTGTGTGCGCGCATGGTGTATGAGACTGTTTTTAACCAGAATGTAAAGCGCTTGCATTTATTTGCGCTTCATACATTACATTGTATTGATTGATTGATAGAAAATTGATTGAGAGAAAAAACAACAAAAACCCACTCCCACACACTAAGAAGTAACGAGTTTGAATCAGAAGTGTAGTATTGAAACATTGATCAAATTGATGTAGAGGCGAGAGAAAATTCTGGAAAAAATCTCCCACATACACACATACAGACTAGCACAAAATGCGTTTAATGTCTCCCCTTTTCAATGTGGTGTTGCAACCTGGAAAAATGCATAAAAATGAAAAGAGCGAAAAGGACAACTCAGGACATGGGTAGAGGGACTTTAAGGATACTGCAGTAAGCCTTTGCAGACAGGGGAGGCGGAGGAATCCAAAAAGCAAAAAAAGAAAAAAGAGATGAAGTAGTGGGGTGGAGTAAGGGGGGTCTGAACCAAAATACAGGGGGAAGAATGCGCCAACCGTTAGCTGCTTTGGACGTCCGCTGTGCTACATCTGAACCAGCGCATGTGGAGGTGATGCCAAGAAATGGGAAAATATATTCATATCTAAATGTGTCGCTACATAAAAGAGTAGAGCACGGAAGAGTATAATGATTTTGGATTTACAGGCGTGCATGGGTGAATTTAGGACAGGGTGAAATCGCCATCGTCCTTGAATGAACCGAGCGGTGGCAGAATACGACACACACAGAGCTGGATTTATGTCAGTTGTCAATGCGGGATGAAGGCTTTTCCCCGTTTTAAATATATACACGTAAAGAACGAAGGAAGCTAGTTCAGGTCTGAATGTAAAAAGCTTGAGGTGATAATGGTGGCGAATGAGTCTTAAAATAAATTCCAGGATTAAGCTGGAAGTGATTATTTTAAAAGCTGGAAAAGGTTGTGTGCTGACAAGAAGAAATATCAGTAAGTCTTTGGTTAATTTGGTTCCGAACACATTGTTGACTGTAGAATTATAAAAAGAAGTGATCCATAATTTCACAATAATTATAAAAAACCATACAACACCAAAGTACTTTTCAGACAAACAAGGTAATAAATGAGCCACTCCCCTTTTTACCATACCATACCCAATTTTTTTTACTTTACTTTTTACCGTGACCGTCGCAGTAATTTAACAAGAATTAGCGGAATTAATTGAGTTTAAAGTGATTGTCTGGAGTTTGTCAGAAAGAGAGACAGAGACGTACTTGATTTGAAAAAAACGACGCAAGCTCCCTCCCCCTTCCTTTCTGATTGGTCTACACCTACGTTTCCGTAACACTTTGAAATGTTAATCAGAGAACATATTATACATATACATTATTAATACACATGCACGGAGGTTTTTCAGAATTATTTGTGAACGTTTTAATGAAAAAAAATATGTTTTTATGCACACAAAAAAGCGATCGCGGCAAACCAGGAAGTGCTATTATCATGAATTGCACATTATAGGACACATCTGCAGAGGATCTGATTATGGATATAGGTTCAGTATATACATAAGTACCTCAGCGCGGATGTTCAGAATTCTTTGTTCAGTTTTCATGTAGTTCCAGAGCCTAATGGAGGCTTGATTCGGAGGCTCCGCAAAAACAACAACTGCGCATGCGCGCAGCTGCGAGCATCAGCGCCGATGATTGACAGCCCTTGGCATGACTCGATTGGTTAACCTCGACGGCATCGTGGATTCTGAGCTATAGCTAAGAGCAGGGAAGGCGGGACTTGCCTGTAATATTAGAATTAATAAAATGACTTATTTTATATCAACATTTAAGGCCAGGAGGTCAATTTAACACATTTCCTAAAATTTGTAATTAATTTAGAGTTACAGACTATCACTTTAATTTCATGGACAATTATCTTCATGTTGACTGTTTAAGAAAACGACATTCCCTGCTCATGTTTGTGTCTCTGTACAATGCTGTATGTAAAATGTTTTTCATACCATTCAATACAAACACACAAAAAACTGTTAAAAAACAAAAAACGCAAAAAGGATAAAATATGAGGTAGTAATTGCTTAAACCAAGTGTTTTTTTATTTATTAATTTGAGTACATTCTAACAAGATTTATCAATGGGATGAAGCCATTTAGTCATGTGCATTTTTCTCATTCCAAGGCAGTTGGCAAAATGTGTTGAAATTAACAATTAGCAATTTTTGACTTATTTTTCATCACTTCTTGCAGTGCAATCACAACCCATCCCATTTATTTTCAGTCTTTCATTCATTCTTGGCCATATAGCTCATCACCATCATCACATGAGATACAGCAGTCCATATTGTGAATGGACTTACTTCAGTCCTCTCCCTCAGGCTGTCTCTCTCTCTCTCCTCTCACTACTCCAGACCATATGACACAGTTCTGTAGCATGTGTCTGTGGCCGCTGTCTGACCTCCGTCTAGCGCATTACCTCCACAGCACTCTGGGGAAATACATGCACCCAGACGAGTGCGCCGAGCTCTCAGCCAGATGTGACAGA